TGGTAAGAAACATTTTCCTGATGTAATGTTTTACACTTATTTTTAGAACAATGATTACTAATCAACTCTGGAAATTACTCTGTCTCTCCAGGGGGACTTATTTCAGCCTGCACAGAGTGGGCGTAATCTTTTATTGACTGTCAGACAGCATCATCAATAAACTGAGTCCCAATTCCTAATATTACTTGACAGTATTTCCCTTCTTGCCATTTCCCTTCAGTGATTCAAAATCACACATTTTTTTTTTTTTTTTTTTTTTACCTGGTCAGGGGAGGAAAACAAGATGCATGAATGAGCTTCAGTGCAGAGAAATCCCTCTGGTGTAATTGATTGACAGACCTGTCTCATGATGACAAACAGAGTGTGCTGACAGTTCATCAATAGACTTCAGTGTGGTGAGCATTACCCTCCTACAGGCCACCCCAGAGCGGGAGCAATATCACAAAATTCATTTAGAATCTTAGCAAATATCCATCTAGAACTGGCTAATTTAGATTTTGTGTTGATAGCAGTCAGCTTGTTTCATTTACAGATTATCTGTTTCTGAAAACAGATTATGTTTTTGTGTGTCTGTTCTGTGTGCGTGCAAGCAGCGTGGCATGACTTACAAGACGACCAGAATCCTCCTCCGCGAGGTCACCGCAGAAGTCCAGCTGTCATATCTGAGGTTAAATGCTAAGTGAAAGCGGGTCATTTGGAAAGGTTGCAGTGACTCACCACACATGTGGACATTCCAGATGAAGCTTCTTCCTTTTCCAATTATTTCCTTTTCCTTTCTAAATTCTTATATTTAGCAAATATAAATAATTGTGACCATTCTAAAACATGGAAAGTTTGCTCTGATTTAAATGTTATGTTTCGTTTTCTAATGTGTATGTAAATAGCCAGTTTTGACTGCATTTTAACAACACTGAACAAAGCAATGAGCAGCAAGTCAATATGTGTAATGAACGATTTCGTGAGTCTCTATGTGTGTTTCTTATTTAATTGTTCTGTTTTCGTGAAGCACTTTGAGATCTAGATATCTGTGAAAAGTACTATTTAAAAATCCAATTTTACTTACAAAAAAATGTTTTCAGCATCCTTCAGGTAAGGATGCTAAAAAGCAGTCGAGATGCCTCCAATTCTGGTTTCTCAATGAAACCTAAGTCTTCTTGTGGAGAAACATGATCAAAACTGAAAAAATAAAAAATAAAAATTTCATGTACATTATGAACTTTTTAGCTGTGCAATTGAAAGAACTGTTGCCTTGCAGTAAGAAGGTCCTGGGTTCGATTCCGGGCCCGGGGTCTTTCTGCATGCAGTTTGCATGGTCTCCCTGTGCATGCGTGGGTTCTCTCTGAGTACTCCAGCTTCCTCCCACAGCCCAAAACCATGACTGTCAGGTTAATTGGTTTCTCTAAATGTGTGTGTGTGTGTGTGCATGGTTGTTTGTCCTGTCTGTCTCTGTATTGCTCAGTGACAGACTGGCAACCTGTCCAGGGTGAACCCCGCCTCTCACCCAAAACGTTCGCTGGAGATGGGCACCAGCAACCCTCCTGACCCCACAGGGACAAGAATGTACAGAAAATGGATGCATGGATGGATATGAACTTTATTGAAAATGTCAAAGTCCAAACAGGAAGTGGGTGTTACCAAGAATTCTATCAAAGAAAAAAAAAATGTTTCAATTTAGCTAAGGGAAATGAAAGCTGATCTGTTATATAAAATACCCTTAAAATATTTTGAAGTTTGTGATTGTAACAAAATACAATGTGAAAAGGTTCCATATAGCTGTGACTGCCCTACATAGAAGCTGCTATTTTCAAACAAAACCGAGAACAACTTTTCCCGGCTTTCTTTGAGGCCGCTCAGACTAGAAACAGCCTTCCACGATGGCTGGAAGACGTGACAGAGGTAATCGTGACAGACTTTTCAGTTGTCTCCGACTTCAATATTGAGCAGATTCTCCTCCCGCTGTGTCCTATCCTGAAGAGGATTTCCGACATGCTGACTTCAATTCCGCTGCATGACATTACAACCTTTATCTTTTTTGCAGTTCACGCAGGTTACGTAAACAGAACAAGATTTACCAAAATTTAATCAAGTGCTCTTCTTTTGTCTTTTGGTGGCTTTTCAACAAAAAAAAGTGCGTTTTGCCCTCGCAGACAGGTGTAGGGATAAAAATAATTTTTCTTCCTCCCTACAACAGATAGAAAAAGAGTTTTGAGGTCAGGCTGTAATCAGCCGAAGGATTGTTTTGCTATATATATATATATTTTTAAATATGTAATTTAAATACAGATGTATAAAAAACAGAGAAGGAGAGTGGGGAGGTCACACAGCAGCTGGGGAAGCTTTGGTGTTGTAATCACTGTCACTGTTTTGGCTTCAGGATGTTTTTCTCAGCGGGCTGGATCACTGTGCAGCTCAGTTTTTTCATGGATACCATGCAGGCAAACACAATGGCAAAGCTAATCTGACTTGGGATGGAGGGAAGGTATCCACCGTACAAGCTGTCAGGTGACTTTGGGTGAAATGGAAAATGAATGGGCAACAAATGAATCACATCCGAAGTCTAAAATTCCTCGTCTGTTGTTTGCAGGTGGTATGACCTTTCAGGGGCACCTTAGGAAGCCAGTCATGTCTTAATGTCACTGGAGTCTGCAGATAATCGAAGGAGGGGGAAATACAGTGGAGGCAAGCAACTTTATACTATATTGATTTCTGTGGCTTGATAGAGTTAGACCATAGGGCCACAAGAACGGTAACAAAATTCTGTTGACGTCTTTGTGAAAGTTATCTAATCTTCAAGCTCTCCTAAAGCAATCAAGGCTCTGCCAGTTGTTACCAAAGTCTACAGCCCAGTCTGACTGGAGTTTTCCCCAATTATAGATTGATTTTTGCATGACTAACCCAAACATGTAAGTGCATCTTCGAGTACAACTGGGATTGTATTTTGACTTATACGACGACTTCCTTTCCTTCCTGACCTTTTCTAGTTCAAAGACCCAAAAATCTATTTAAATTGTTTCAAAATTTGTCCAAGCTATCTCTTAAACCATTGTCAGTCTCTATGGGGAAACTTTTTTTTTTTCTGAAGGTCAGTGCTGAATAAACAACTATGGCATGCACATGAGAAGTACGTTTGGATCATATTTAAAGATTATATAAACATCAAAGTGCATTTTGTCAGAATTAAATTCTGAAATAGCAATGTCAAAGAAATGAGAAGCACTAATAAATCCAATTTAGTTATATTTAAAAGAAAGCAGTACCTTATTTTTGTTTGTATGCTAAGAGATACGGAGCAACATTTACAATGTTGCACATATTGGAATAAAATATTCCTATGCAATGGTTGCAACAATGTGAATTAGGACAATGATTTATTTCGACAGAGAAAGCATGTCTCTTAAAGACATTGCAAGAAAATTTAAACCACAATAAAAAAAAAGTAACGAATACGAAACCTAATTTTTGCTAATTATTGGCAACAGATGCAGTTTTCAATTTTGCCTGGCAGCATTTCTGTTTTAGCTGCTTGCAGAGTCCCTAATTAGTTTATTTATTGCCCCTCCAACAGTCTGCACAGAGTCACAGTTGTAGGACTGTTGCCTTGTGGCAAGACAATCCTGAATTTACATCCAAGTTGGGGCCCGTCTGCATGGAGTTTGCATGTTCTTTGTGTGAATGATTTCCAAATACATGCTTGTTGGAATAATTATTTTTGAAATCTGCTTGTGAGTGTATGACTTTTAATTCCTGTCCATCTTCCCGTCTTATCGTGGTGCACCCCAGCTCTTACCCATCGACCTCTGAAGATATGCAGCACCAGCAGAGTGGGTATAGAAAAGGGATGGATGGATAAAAAAAAAAAAAAGCATTACATTTGCAATATGTATCTGGTTGTGTTTGACTGTATTTTTATTCCTAAATGTACCTAAATGTACCTATGGAAAAAATATTTTCTCTTCAATGGAATAAAATGACAAACATTTTGACCAAATTTCAAAAATTTACACTGAAGGCAAATTTAAAACAATACACCTTTACTAAAACATCAAGCAGGTCAGATTACCTTAAGTTACCCAAAGAGGTCCCAGGTGAAAAAATTTAAAAAAAGGAAAAAAAAAAGCCCTCAATCTTGTTCTGTTTTTCTTCCATCGGATAGAGAGAACATATTGAGGTTTGATATAAATTATGCTCAACAAGACTAGCATCTGTAGGAGTTGCAGTTTCTGGCCGTCTTCACTGCTAAAACTCACCAGGATGGATTCTCCTCATGAGGGTTCAGCTGCCCGTCAAGCTTAGGATTTTGTAGATAATGAACAGAAACCCCTCTCAGCCATAATCACCTTGTCTGTAACTGCTGACACACACACTCACACACACATTTATAGCCAAGATACTCTGTGAACCTCTCAATCACTGCTTCACATCTAAAAATACTCCCAGACCTTCTCCTCCAATAATCAAATTGTAAATGAGTCCACGATCTGCCTGCATGTTTTATGCAACAGAATGAGTCACACCCGATTTAAATGACAATATGTCGTTTATTTTCTATATTTTCAAGGTTTATTATTTACAAACAAAATAAATGAAAAAAAAAAATCAAAAAGAGTTTTTGACAAACACTGTTTGTCTGCATATTATCGTAAGAAAGTTTACATTTATCCTTCTTTCTTCTGTTATAAGCAACCACCAGACAGTTTGTTTTCTCTAAGCCTCGGATTATCTGAATAAGCTGAACAGTGACCATGTGAGCCGGGGTTGCACAACTCACATTATCGGTAAACATAATGAAACCTGTGATCATCAAAACCAAAGAAAAATCTGGTTCATCCTACATGAATGTTATCAGTTGTTTTTGGATCTTGCTCCATCTCTCCCCCATCCTCATCCCCCAAAAAACACCAACAAACCCACAAAAAAGAAACATACATAAATAATATACGTGCTGGTTTGTTGACATTCTCTAAATTCCTAATGTGTAAGCTCGTTATTTTGTGTTGTACGTCACTGATAATGCCCGTTCCGGTATGCTAGTTAGTAGCGATTTGTTTAGTGAAGAAAAAAAAAAGAAAAAAAAGCACATAGTCGGGAAGCTCTCCCTCCAAAGGCAAGTATCAAAAACAGCACAAACCAACAGTGCTGCAATCCATCTCGACTGTGTACTAGTTCCTATACACTATGGCATATTCGCGATTAAGCGCTCTCCGTTGCAAATAGAACACCTCCCCACCCGCTCCCTTTTAGAAACTCAAACAAGATGAGGGCAGCACAAATTCTCAGGGATACCGCTCCCTTTTCCATCTCATCCAGCGCCTAACCTCGCTGAAAGAATCCCTATCTCCTCATTAGTAAGTCAGAAAGTGCAATTTAAAAACAAAGACAAAGACTTTGAATGTTTTGCTTTGGCCAGTTTCTTCTCATGCATCGGTACTCAACCTTTTACATCAGTGGCTAGCTACAAAGAAAGGTATAAAGGTGCTCCAAATTTATACAATGTCTCAAGTCTGTGATACATCTGCAAGTCTAAAGATTGCACTTCTTCTTTTATCTGTACATTACCTCATGACGTTTCTATTTGGGTTTTAGAAAATAGATTAATTTTAAAAAAAAGACCCGCCTCCACCAGTTTTCACCGTAAGTGAAGACACCAGCTGCACACGTTGAGACATTTGGCCATCGTTATTGTCATTTCCTTTCTTGTCTAAAAACACTGAGACACAGAACACACACACACACACACAGAGTATAGTAAGAGTGAACGCGCAGCCGTGTGCAGAAGTGACGCTAGTGTGCGGCGGGGCTCATGCCCGCAACGAAAAAGATGGAACATGGCGATAGTTTTAGGCACAAATACTTCAGACCGTCAATGCAAAAAAGAGTCAATGCTTGTGTTTCAACACACAGATAACATCTAGGCAGAAGGACAGTGAACAAAAGAGAATCTAACATTAACATTTAACGTCAACATTTTCGAGATAGTTTCTATTTAAGTTATTTGTGACAACGCATGCTTTCTTGACAGTGGTGGGTTGACTGTATTAGTGGACTATCGACAGTCTGGGGTGAAGACTTTTAATCTTTTAAAACAGTATCTCAACGGGCTTAGTCACTGTGAACTGATGAGATATTTGGTGCCATGAAAGCGGCAGTTCTGAATCTAAACTGACTGAGAATTTGTCACATTTGATTAAGGAGAAAGCAGTAAGGCCTTGAGCACAATGTGCAACCTATTGGATGTGCACGGAATGGACCTGCAAGCAGCTGCTTTTATTGGAGTCTTCGGATAGTCCTGTGTTATTCTTGCTTAACTTTATACTTTCATGCCTCAATCTCCGGGTCAGTTTAGAGTACCTAAGCCCACACAATGGATTTACATGAGACAGAAACCTTAATGCAAACCAGCTTTTGTTTACCATCCAGTCTTGATCGGCCCCTTTTTACCCATTGATACAATGTCCTGAGGTCTTCATAAAGTGTCTGTGATATGCTTTAATTAAAATACACCAATGTTACAGTACCAAAACCCTCTAATATTGCCTGTCTTTTCTTTTTAGCTCTTGACTTTACTTCTCCTCTTTCTTCTGCTGGTTGTGTGTGTTTGCCTGTATACACAGAGTGTTGCATGAAGTTATGTAGCATTAGTATTCAGTCTGACGGCTCACACCATCACAGATAGACTAGGAAATGTCAAACTGTTACAAAATATAGTTTTGATCTAAAAAATTCGCATCGCTCTTATCTGAAGTTCAGTCGGCTGGTAATTATCCAATTTTTGGAAGAGAATCATAGCAAGTTATGTCATGTTACGCACCTCAAATGTGATTACTAGAAACCATAAAAGTCAGTCTGCTGGTGAAATATCACATCATAATTTGCATATGATAAACTCTGGTCTTTACAGTTGGTTTATTGTTCCGTTTCATTTGTTAGGAACTTTCCAGTTTATTTTAATCCTCATTATTCTTCAATTATACTGAATACTTATTGTAATGTTGGTAGGTCCTGTGAAATACTTAGTTCGTAACAGCAAGTTTTATCATGCAAGATAACCTTTTACCTTACACGTCGCTTGTTCCATAAGTTCAACATTCAGATTTTGAAAAATATAATTTTTAAAATCGTAAAATTGTTATGCACACTTAAAACTGAAGGTCCTTTTCTTTAAATCAAATGTTGGATTCTATGATGCTGGTGCAAGAATCTCGTAATTTAAACCAAACTCTGTCAAAAATAGTTGTGTAAGAAAATATAGAATAGTTTAACTGTCAGAGCTAGGGAATAAATTTAGCATTTTGTTACAACGTGAAACTTGGTTTGGTTGAAATGTACAACTCAAAATGAGATTTATATTCAATTAAAACCTAAATATATTCTCATTTAAATGAGTGCAGCCATAACAGTAATATGGCAACACATTGCAGGATGTTTGAGTGCTAATAGAAAAAACTGAGTGAGAAAATGGAAAGTCAGTGGGAGCTTCTTTATGCCTTTTCAACAAGTCGTAATAAGAGGAATGCATTTTTATATCTCATTAAAACGAGAAATTCTGTCATTTTAACGAGATATAACACTTGTCTCGTTAAAACAATTTATCTCATTTTAACGACAATCTGCTCCTGAATATATTTCCTGGCTGGGCAGCTAAACGTTTCTGAAAGGAAAGAGACAAAAAGGAACCATAATGTGGTTATCGGGTAAACCTTAGCATCACTAAATCTCTTTCAGAGGAATGAAATTAAAAAGAAAATGTCACAAGGTAAAATTGTGCTGCATAACTATGTGAATGTGAGTGGGTTGTGTTTCTACTTACAGTTCACACGAAAGAAAACACTTGTTTACTTGAGATAATATCAACCCTTTTGCCAGCTATGTAGTTAGCATCAGCTATTGCTAGCTTGCCATGCTCTTGTAAACACAAAGGGTCAAATAGAAAACCTAACCCAGTTCTCTAATTCAAACACGACATCTAACCTTGTTGTGTTAAATAAATCAATGGCGATACTGGAGTATATCTGATCCGGTTCGCAAATAGGGGACAATTTAAATAATTTTTCAAAAGCTACAATAAGTAAGAAAGAAAATAATATTTCTGGCCATGAATATGAATCAGTAATGCTAGCGAAATCATTTTAAAACTGAAATTGGAATAATGGGGAAAAACTAATCCACTTTGGATTGAAAGACAAAACTCAAGTTCTTTAAATTACTGATCCAAAAGATATGTGATGCTAGACCTAAATATAGCAAACAACCAGAGAAGAGAGAGGGAATCATAAATGTCCTTTAAGCCAACATTTCTCTGCCTCAAGTCCTGCTAGTTTTTGCATTAAGGTTTGCTCATCTCTTATGAAACATACGTATTTTGTCACTTAACCTCTGTCGCATATAGATGATAGAAGTAAGACATTGTTATGATAGAGAATGCACAACACAGTATCTGTAAATCCTAGATCTACAAAACTATTTACAGCACACATATAGGTATTTGTTATGTCACAGTCTATTGCATAATGGTGATAATCTTTAGTTTATAAATATTATAAATATACACAGAATTTTTTTAAGCAACATTATGTAAGATCTCAACCATCTGAAATCAAAAATAGAAAAAACAAACAAAAAAAAAAACAAGATCATCCATCCATATCCATCTCCACACTCTTGTTTCACCAAAGAAAGCAGCATTTCTATTACCTATTCCCTTTGGACCCATAACACTGTCATGGTTTGAATGTGAGCCTGCCTTGGGGATACAACGGCTCAGAAGACTGTATTCTCATCTCTGGGAGCAACGTAATACACGGTTACAGTATTTATTCTGATCGCTCAAGCAAGTCTCAGTAAATTATTAGGAGATTTAATTTTTTTTAATAAGTATGTGCATTTAGAATTTCTTTGTCAGAGATAATTGCATTAATAATTGCACAGTGATGCCTAAAGCTGCTTAACAGGAGAAAACATTTTTCCTCTTCATCAGGTTAAGAACAAAATCCATATTGCATTCCAGTTAGAAAAGAAAGCAAAATGACAGGAAAAAAAAACAAAAACAAATAAAAATAATTTCAAAAAGTCATACATGATATATCATTTCATATATTTCTTAGAAAGGAAGACTCATTTTTATACTACAGCTTTAAATTGCCTTTGCCAATATTGTAGTTAGATTTTACCCACTTGCACCTGCATACATCCACACTCTCAAACATCCATTCACGTGTATCTTTTAATATACATTCTTAAGTTTAGGGAGACAAAAATGTCTAAAATATTATACAAGGGCTTATATACATATAAGATTTGTATGAGGTTACTTTAGAGGAAAGCTGGAGAGAAACAAATTCAGAAATTCCTCGTTTTTGCCTCTTTTGTTCAATACCCATCCTGAAGATGAATTGAAACACATTTAAGTTTAAAAAAAAAAGAAGAAAAAAAGAAAGTAAGGGAAAGATGTATGGAATCATAAATTTGATGCGAAACGCATTTTGTCTTGCTCAGTCTCTGTACTGCTGAGGACAGAATCTCTTCTAGATCCAGGGGATTCCCTGTGCTGCGTCGAGGATGATGATGATGACGCCGCTGCCACCGCAGCCGCTGCCGAAGCGGCTGAACGCACCGGGGGCAAAGCTCCCGACGACATCTGGCGGAACAGACTGACCCGCTGGGGCACTGTAGTGCGAATGCCACCTTGTAGACTTATTCCCTGGATGGCTGCTGCCGTCGGTGGGACCATGGAGGCCAAAGACTCCCCAGAAGCCGGATGAGCTCTGGGCCCCAGAGGCGTGTCATGTGGCAGTGACGGTTGGGAGGCCGACAGGTGTCGGACATCTCGACTCAAGCTGCCAGACTGGAGAGCCTGCGTGCTCTTGTGAATGTCTCCCCGCTGAGGCGAAGGGACCTGCTGCTGTGCTGCCGAGGCTGCAGCGGCAGTCGAAGCAGCCGGCTGTTGACCGAGCTGCTGTTGTTGTTGTGTGGGTAGAGAAGGTTGGCCAATGGGCTGCTGGATAAGCGACAGCTGGGACGCTGTTGGTGAGCCATACTGGAAGCTTCGGCTAGCCAACGGGGTCTGAACGGGTGGGCTGCACATGGCCGCCGTGAAAGAGCAGGGCGACATGATCGCTCCCTGCTGCAGTGCTGTCTGTGATGAGGAATTCAGGTTAACCTGGGAAAGACTGGACGTGGGGAATCCCCCCTGCGCCGCAGCGGCGGCGGCGGCAGCGACTGGCAGCATGCGAGCAACAGAGGCATTGGCGATAGCTGAAGCACTATAGGTCATGGGTACAGAGGACTGCTGTAGCTGAGCGGCGCCAAAGGCAGTGGAATATGGCGGCTGGGCTGGTGAGTTAATAATGGAGTTTCCTGACATTGGAGTCGAGTTCATCCCGGTAACTGACTGCTTGCGGTCCACCATCATCACCATCTCTCTGTCCTGACGGATAATCTGCTTCAATATCTCGTTCTCCTGTGTGTTGAACACGCCGGCGTTCAGATCCTTCTGGAATTTCTGCAGCAGCAACGAGTTCTTCTTCCCTGTTGAAGCGCAATCAGAAGAGTCACCACATACAGCAGTGGAGAACTTTGGATACATAAGAGGAAAGCAGAACTCTGGGTGACAAAGATGCAGCTTGTATGCTTCGGTCATACCAAAGCATACCCATCTTCAATTTCTAACCTGCCACGAGGCCCGTTGCTTTAGCGGAAAAAAATAAATAAACTATTGTACATATTTTTGCTCAGAAGCTGCATCTTTATAGCCCACTAAGGACTGCTACATGCTACATAAAAAAAAAAAAAAAACTGAGACATTTTGACAGTCATGACTATGAGGAGATATAAAGTCTGAGAAAAGAAAAGGACATACAAGAGACAAAGATTACTGAAGGTGCGACATGATGACAGACTATGAGGGTGGTGAGGTCAAAACACAGAGGAGTTACGGATGATTTGTACCCACACGCCACAATACTGGACACTTTATAACGACAGAAAACAGAAAATCTAACTTCTGAGAATGAAATTAAATCACACTCTTTTGAATTACAATGAGAATTTAGCTAAACCACGTCACAGGGACATCTAGAATAACCACTAATGTTTAGTACAAGGAAACATTCTGCTATCTCAGTCTTTGATAATTGTATATTTATTGTTAATTAATGGAAATTAATTTAACAGAATATGTCAAGTTAACTATTTTAACAGTTTTTTTGGTGTACAGTTAAATGATAACAGAAAATTTAGAAATAAAATTTAGGGTTTGGTATAAGAACCATATTTTTATCCCTTTATTGGTGCAGCTATTAATGTGTAAAAAGTCTTAAAAATGATTTAATCTTTTGTTTAAATAGCATGCTAATGATGCTTAAATCTTTAGAAAAATCCAAATGTTCTAGGTGTAGATTCATATATCGATCCAATGGTAACAAATTGCTGATTTCACCAAACAAAAATAATTTAAAGCACCCCTCAGAGTTTAAACAATAGTATCTGAAGTATTTATAATACATACTTTTAAGGTTTATTTAAGCTATATTAAAAAATGGCAAATAAGGCAGAGGCCTCTCTACGTTAGGTAGCATTTTAAACTTGCTCATATATGCAGCAATTGAAAAAAAAAAACTAAAATAGCTGGGTGCATTAAAACAGTGAAATGAATGAAACCAAGAGTAGCAATAATTTCTGGAGACTATTGTATGTTCTGTAAGGACACAGAAGAAACTGTCCCAGTCGGTCAAAATGATTGAGCTATGAAAATAAATGGTCCTAATTACTTAACAGCAACCTCTTCTTGCTTCTAGAGGAAGCAAAAACAGAAGCTCCTAAAGACATCAAAATGTATCTCAAAAATGACCAGATTTCACAATAAAGATATTTTTAGCATGTTTACCCTGAGTGACTACGTCTGACTGTTCTTAGAGGACGTGTTTCCTGTAATTATTGTTGTCCTTCTGTATTGACAGGCCATGAAGCATTGTCAGTAAAGAAGACAGAGAGGGCGTTCAGCGTGGTGAAGGCTTTCAATTCATCCAATCAATCATTAAATCCTGTCCTTGAGAGTGGAGAATTTCTTCACATAGTTTACCGTTTAGCCACATTTGCTGCACTCAAAACTGCTGGGGTAAGCCATGCATTCAGCTATAAGATATTGCTTTACGGCTGTAGCTGCAGAAAATAGATTGATGTCACTTTTGGAGCATTTTATTTTCAGAATCCAGTGCTCAGTTTGAAGCGGATAACTGGGATTGCAACGATTACTACGAGGTCGGGTAATAAAGAGCTAAAACAAACACCACAGGCTGACTGTTAATCTACTGTCAACATACAAGATGGCTTACATGGCAGTTTTAAAGACGAAAGGGTCAAATGCTGTAGATTAGGATGAAAATACATTTATTAATTATTTTAAGAGCTGTTTTCTACGTTTGTCAGAAACGCATTCAAACAGGGATCAGTTTAAATTCAGAAAAAAAATAGATATTTGATTTCATTGAAATAAAAAAAAAACCACTTTAACTCTATAACAAAATGTCACTATTAACTTTTAATATTGTCTTATCTATTAATTTCCTTAATGTTTTTGCTTCCTCGGTCATCTTTCTTTACTGGATGTCTTGTCTTCTTCATTAATCTTGTCTAAAGGTGAAAACAATTTTTGTAGAGCTACAGTTCATACATGATATATGCTATACATTCACATTGACTACAGTCAAGTGTTTGACTTTATCAGCTCCTTTAAGCTGGTATGCCTCCAGGATGCAAAGCCATTCATTTGATATTAATATATCAAAACTTTATCTGACACTGTGTGGCTCTGAATGTCTATGAAAAACCATATTTCAAAGAAAAAGCATCTGTTATTTTGATGTGTTGCATTAAAATAATTTTTAAAAAATATACAACAAGATAAGGAGCTGAGACTACAGATGTAAAAGTGCGAAAGCCATGGATTTATTACAAGTAATACAATATTTATGAAAAAGGAAATCTGCAGGCACAACTCATATTGAATTAAACGTCAAAAGCTTTTTATGAATTGAATTACTGTTACAATTTTGTATCTTTAAAGTTTAAAATTAATACTCTAAAATAAAAGTCATGGGATATTTTATGCATACTTGTTTTAAAACACTTCTGCATGTTAGGAAATGTTGCTACTCAGTACTACTGCAAAAAGCATAAGAAAACCAAGTAAAAATCATAAAGACTGCTTCTGTATTAAGGCATATAGCTATTCTGCATCTATACTTTAAATATTAGGGATATTTAAAGACTTAGCAACCCACTAGTCAAACATGTATAAAGCAAATAAAACACATTTCCAACAATTCAAAATGTGAAATATCACCATCTTATATTATGATGATATTAAAATGTGGACTAAGAAATCTGCTGATGAGCAGAATGAAATTTCCAGTCTGGCGACTGACGGGTTGGGAACTCAAAAGTTTGAGCTTTTTCAGATCAGTGAATACAACATTTTGTAAGCACCATCAACCTGCACTAACCCTAATACCCTGTAGTGTAGGAGCATTTAAGTCCTAAGAACAGCTGTACTACTGATTCTGTTGTACAGTTTACTGATCTAATACTCTTCAGTGTAGAAGTATTCATTGATGGAGAAAGACTATTTTTTTTGTATTTGTGAACTGTTTAAAAAAAATAGCTTTTTTTTTCATGCACCAAAACGCTAAATTTCCGCTGGTCATTTTCTCCTTTATCATTTCACAATATATCGGTAATCTTTTTAAAGCTACAACAGCATATCAATTTATTCCTGCGTTAGGGATGTTTTATTGAACCGGTGAACCCTCACTGGGAGCAAACTTCATCAAATACCAGGTCGTGTGATCAAATTACAACAAACTTGCAAATTGTTCATTGGGGTAGGAGTCTACATCCTAGAGACCGCTGTTTACAGATAATGCTAACATTGCTAATCATCCAAATGGGGTGATGGTGATGGTACAGGAGTTTGTCCCGTAATCGGTGGGCCGGTTCGAATCCCCATTCCGTCTGTCTCAGTTATTGTGTCCTTGGGCAAGACACTTCACCAGCTTTGCCTGCTGGCGGTGGTGGTCACAGGGCCCAGGGGCGCCGGTGCATGGCAGTCAGGGCAGCTGTGGTTACCATCCTGCAGGCTGCCACCATCAGAGTGTGAATAATGTGACTGTGTGCATGTAAAATCTTGGAAAATAGTCACCATTGTCAGTGGATTTCAACATTAGTGTTCCTTTGCACATTTTTTAGAACTGTAAAGAAATATACATAGTAAAATAAAATGTAATGTATGAAAATGACTATTAATTGTGTGGTAAAAGTTACATTATGCTCTGAAAGCAATCAATCACAATTTTGGTTCCTTCATCTACACACGGTGAGACCGACATAAAAACAGGAAACTCACACCATTTTCTCTTGGCTGCACCTCATGTCAGACAGACCAACACAAACTGGAAAAGTCTGAAAAGCTGCAATTGAAAATGTCCTATTTTTTTTTTTTTTTTTTTGGAAACTGGCTGCTGAATCCTCCAGGCTAAAGAGGAGGGACCAGCCTGCTGTTATCACTGCACAGTTAGAAAGGCAACATCTGTGATGGTACGGCGGTGCAGCCATGCACATGACAAGTGGAACTTGCACATCTGTGAAGATCCCATTAATGCTGATTTATACCTACAGGTCTCAGGGAAAGAAAAAAAAAATATATATATACTGAAAACTGTTTTTGGACACAGTAGTGTTAGCTTTCTGTAACTTGTGCTGGTTTTAGACTACAAAAGTGAATGTAAGGGTTGAATGTGTTGTATTGTACAAGTTCCCTAATTTGCTTCTTTATTAGTTTTAATGATTAGATACTAGTTACTGCAAACCACATCTTAGATAACTTCAGTTCAGTTTAAGGAAAGACGTTTACGGTACATAGTAATCTGTATGTCTATTACAGAGGAGATGGGAAGTTAAAGTACTTGAGGACTTGTGCCTGCATGTTACAGATGTGGTCCAGCTCCAACACTTTCGATTCAAATTGAAAAGCCTGCTAATGACCACTTTTGTTGATATCAGGTGTGTTCATGCAGAAAAACACCGGCCTTCAAGGACCAGCATGACCTACACCTGCTTTAAATCTTCCTCAATTTTATTTTTCCTTTTTTCATTTTTTTTTTCATTTTTTTATACAAGACAGAACAGACATTTCAAGTCAGACAATCAGAAACAAACTTTTTTGCTGGGTGAAAACATGAATAAATAATGAAATGGGATCTTGAATGTATAGTGAACTGTATGTAGTGTTGCATTAGTAAAACTCTTACTAATTTGAGGTATGGTTTCTCTGAATGCACTTTCAGGAAAGGATTCATAAAGACTTGGAGTGTTCAACAATCACAGCTAACCATAAATCGTGTGATTTTTTTTTTCCCCCATCGAGGATTAGTTTACAAATAAAAAAAAATGGCATGTAGAACTGGATGAGATCTCTTTGTTTCTTTGATTGTCTCAGTTGCTGACATTTTAATGTGTCCATCAGAATGCAGAGACTTTCTTGTGTGGGTAACTTGAGTTATGTGTTAAAGATGCAGAAATTAAACAGGTAATGTAACCTTCAGCAACAAGTCAAGCTTGTTAATTTCCAGACTGGATTTATTTAGCAAGGCTGAATGTGTTAAAGTCTGGCCCTGTCCAAATACTGGAATTAGAATAAGAAGTTTACCTTGTGCCTACTCGTCGGCCAGGGCATTCTTGAAAACGAGATGAGCTCGTCTCAAGATGGACTCCTGGTCAAACAGTTTTTAGATAGATAAAGGATAACGTCAAATGTGCAACATAGTATTGTTCTCAAAGCATGGTTACTTTTTCTTCTTTCTTTTTTTTTAAGAGCAAGACAAGCAGGTAACCAAATGCAGTCAATATGTAGAAACGATACAACCAGCACTGATCATGACAAAATATCTTCCATCGTATGAGACAAAACCCCCTTTCATGTTTAGTCTGAAAGGACGAATCTGCTCTGCAGCACTCTGAACTGTGTCAGTGTGCACAGCTTTCACTTTCCAATATATGACAATAGTGAGAAGCTAACTCATCTGGCAGTTCTTATATCAAGGGGCAAATATAGGTTTAACCAGCTGACATTAAAGGGCACATTGAAGCAAAACCCTACGTTTCCCTGAAGGACATTCTCTAAAAATTTGACCTTGTCTCCTTGGAGTTATGTTCATTTGCAATGCTAAAGGTTAGGTTCAATGTACTTCATGCTGAGCTATTTTCTGCCGGGTGTAAAATTTTAACTGACATTTTACAGATGTAAGGGGGTTGGATACAGGAATAAATACAAATTTATTTTAAATTTTGCAGATTTGTGCTTAGCTACCTTTTGTAAAAAAAAATAAATAAATAAAATAAAAGATTTTACAGAGCCTCCCAGGTGCCAAAATAAAATCAGAAATCAGAAAAATGTCCTCCATGCCCAGGCAGACATGACAGAGAGTGGCTCGCACCAAGTCTGGTTCTGCTGGAGGTCGGGTCTTTCTTCTCCTCGGTCGCCAAATGCTTGCTGAGGAAAGAACAGCTACAAAGCTCTCGACTCGGTGCAATAGGATTTACTCTGATAGATACCTTTTTACCAATTATAATCCAGATTCAAGTGGATAAAATATTATTCCAACGATGAACGACCTCTAAGCAAACTACAGCAAAACCAGGAAAGTCATCTTCTCTCAACAAAATCTTGTATTTCAATTAAAACAAAACAAATAATATTTTGAGCTGGATGTGAACTTAAGAACACTCGAAGAAGTACAAGGATAAAGAATATTCAGAGTTACCTAAATGTGTATTTTGAAATTGCCGACATGAGCTGGATGAACAAATGTCTGATAAATTTCTGAATTTAAGAAAATATTTGTTGGTAATACAGACAATACCATCAGTATGTCAGAAAGAAATTAGTTTCTGGTAGGATATGAGACTGGTATTTGTCAAAAGACAATACAACAATGCAAAAGGAGCATCGTTTCCAAAAGGAGAGATCATTTTCCTCTGCTACATTTTTTTTCTACATTTCACAGATTTAAAAATAAAATGTTAATGATGACAAATATTTAAATTCTCAATAATTACAGATTTTTTTTTTTTTTTTACAAAGTAAAAACTAATTAAATCCTTTTTGAAATTTTTGACCAGATTTTCATGGGTCAACCTGTATTTTAATAATTTGTCTTTGTAGTTCTCCATCTGGTTCAAGTCAAATTCCTCTTGCTTATCCTCTCCAAAATTATTATTATTATTATTATTATTATTTTATTATTAGTATTATTATTATTATTATTATTATTATTATTATTATTACCCTGTCAATTTAAACATTGCTTTAAGTCTAAATCTGCTAAATTATGATTATGATTATTTAGGGAAGACATGTATTTGAATCCTAAAGTTAAATATTAGTTTCCCAAAAATCTTATTTTACCTTTTCCAGCTCCATTAACCCAAATGCTGTTGCGTCTCTGAATTTATTTTGACACCAAGCACTTGAAGGGCTCTGTAGGTTTTTCTTAGTCATCAGCTGACTTGATACATTGGAGTCACCTATAGATTTTTCCAACTTTATAGACCCCAATAGTAGATTTCCAGTTAATAAATCTGACCTGATAACTAAGTGCTTTTGAATTTGAGTCAACTTTGTGTTACAAAGCAACTTGAAAGCAAGAAAATGTATATCCATGGCAAAGTGATCCACTGACACGGCCATGATAATGGAAAAACAGCCAGAAGTGATCAAATGGATTCAAGCTGAGCCACTATACCAACGTTTGCATATTGCCTTCATTTATTTTCATGGATAATAATGTTTTACTGTAATAAAATGTTTATTAATATATCACAGGAATATATTATGAAGCATTTCAGCCTTTCTCTCAATAAAAGAGTGGATTATTGTGAAAACATTTTAAATTAAGATGGCCGAGTTTATGTTTAATAACGTCTTTGAGAGGCGCCACTTGGTGAATTCATTCGAGTGAAATTGTGTATATTTTACAAAGTTCACTGTACTTGTGTACTTCAAGAACCACAATGTAATTCATTGCATGTCACTTAAAAACGGCAAAAACATTTCCTGATAATACAGTAGGGTTTATTGTTTTACAGACTGTGTCTAAAAGATATGGTGATATTGGAAAAATTCAGGGAGAAACTATAAGGATTACTCAAATCGAATGTAATCTCATTACAGTAGTTCCTGTGACACCAGATCTTACAAGATGCACAGGACTTTCTGAGACATCGACAGTTTAGTATGAAACGTTGTAGACACTTGCAGTGTTGTAGCTGAACAATGACTCCAGCATTTATGATTCGCATGGAGTGGTCTGATCAGATTTCAAACATACTCTACATACATGTGCCCCTTTGGAAAGTCTGTGTGGTTTGAAATCTAGATTACTAATCCTCATTTCAATCTTTCTTCTTTTTATATCATTTCATCAGTTGATTGGAGGAAGACCTATTGGTTAGTAATGTAGTAGAGTGCCTTGCAACAATATTCATACCTCTTGTGCAATGCCACATTTTTTGAGGTCAAACCACAAACTTCACTGTGTTTTTTGGGATTTTGTGTGATAGACAACAATTTACAAAGGCTTTGTTTTTGAAAGTAAATGAGAACGACATGTCTCAAAATGAAACTGTTCTTGTAATTGCAGACGACCATTTTGCATGTATTAACTGGCATTTTGACAATTTATCTCTAATGATATGCTTAGAGGGGAGGAGGAGGATTCCATGTAAAATTTACTTTTTTGAGCTTTAAATCATCTTACAATGTTATGCCCTCACCCAAAACATACCTGGAGTGTTACTTTATTATTCATTGTATGTCTGAGGAATCCCTGAATCTCCAGATCAGACGAAGTACCACCTATTTACCAAAAGCTCTTCTTTGGGGCAGCAGTCACCAGTCGAGCTTCTGCCCCACAAATAACTCCCATACTCAGCTCCTTCAGACTAGCGGCAGCAGCAGTTAGCAAACACCTGGTGGAACTGCATATCTGCTGAGCTCATCGTGCAAGCTACTACTCAGTCCAATAGTGGTTAACCGGATCATGGAGGAGCACTGTTGTCATAAGGTACTGAAAGCAGAGTGTAGAAATGAGTAGGACATCAATTTCAAAGCATCTAATTGAAAAGTCAAATTTCTTTGAAATTATGCTAGATGTATAGAACATTTTGATAATAATGGTAGGTACCATATTTACTTGATTACTTGATTGCTGTGCCTGGAAGATCCATAATACAGCTCCTTTAAGTCTTGGGGGTTTGACGTTCTCCGTGCCATGACCCTACTCTTTAGCATTCTTGACAGATTCTCTACCAAATCCTAGCTGGAATCCGGACTGGGTCACTCTTAAACGCTGATGTTACTTGGTGCCATAATGAACATGTTGGTAAAATTACAAGATTAATTAACTAAAATATGCCAGTGGTATTCGCTTTGACCTTACCTGTGTATAGTAAACAAAGTTCAACTGTGTGCAATCTCAGTGCAGACGCAGCTGTGAAGACCTCAGATATTTGTTAAAGACCAGGAAACGGTCACTTTATCCAAGCGGGCCTTGGATAAGGTGGTGAAGGTAAAGGAAGGGTTACTTGGGTATGCTCCTTTCGGCTGGTCTATTACATAAAACCACAGTAAAATACATTGAAGTTTGTGGTTTAGACAAAATCTAAAAAAATAAATAAATAAATCTAAGAAACAGCTATCAATACTTTTGCAAGGCACTGTGCGTTATACTGATCAGGAGCCTGCTTAACAGCCAACTGAGCTGCACCAGATGGTAACATTTCTCTTGTCCCTGATATTAATTTTGTAAGAAATCTGTAATTGGGTGGGGTGCTGCTCATACCCAGGAGTTTGGATGAGTGTACAGAGAGCCAGACACACATGCACGTGAGGTTAGCTTCCATCGACTCGGTGGCTTCCAGTGGGGGGGTCAACACCAAACCAAAGAAGTGGGCGACTAGACTCCCTCCCGGACAGCGACATGCACCGCCTTCCAATTAATCCAACCACAAAATGCTACTTTTGCTCATTAGAAGGACTAAGACATGTTACAACAGAACTGTCTTTTGTGTTATTTAAGAAAAAGAAAAAAAAACAAAAAAAAAAAACAGACAAGTAAAGGAAAAGGTAGCATACAGGTCATGCAGCACAAGATGGCACACACAATGCTTTTATGAGGAAATAAGGGCAATCAGAGTCTGATTAGGACAAGACAATGAGGCATGATGACGGGCAACAGAACCAATCAATTAGAAACGAGGGAAAAATTGGGTCTTACCAATGCGGTCCAGGCGGTCGATGGCTACGGTTTCAAACGCACGTCGCATCATGGGGTACTCTTCTAGCACCTCATTGAAATGGTCAACAGAGAGGGAAAAGAGTCGACAGTAGGTGTCTGCACGTACACTCGCTGTCCGTCTGCCCTTGGTGAGCAGGCAGATCTCTGCACGACAGGGACACAGAGGTACAAAGAAAAAAGAAAAAAAACACATGAAGGAAGCAGTAGCAAGGGCTGGGAGTGTACAGAAGGCCATAAAGGAAATCATCCCAGTAATTACTGTACACATTATCATATAGATGAATCTGTGAGAGCAAAGGGCTTGGGAGAGGGAGAGTTAATGTGAATGTAAATAAATTGAGAAGCTCATGAGCAGGACTGTCACAGTCATTATGCTAAGACAATTCATCATCCCGCAGAGAGCTAACAGTCCCATAATATAATACTGTAGTTAGCTTTACTGTCAGGCTCTTAGGCACTGCATTCGTTTCTAAAATGTAAGGAGTAACTAAAGCTGGGGATGATTTTACAGCAACCTGTATTTCTGTCTCTGATGCGATGAAATACAAGAACGACAGCAGAACAGTGCATCAGCAACATATCTATATTCTCCTTGTAGTCCCCCGTTGATCACTTTGATCACATTGGCACTGAGCAGCACAATATATAAACACCCCAACTTCCTACCTCTATTAGTGCAGAATCATTGTATACAGTGCACATCCATTTGAAGAAAAGCATTGCTACTCATATGTCCTATCAGTCAGCTGATAGTAACACCACTTAAGTTGTTTACATACTTTGCAAGAACAGAGAAATTAGTTTTACCTCCCATGACTGAGGTGATTTCATTCTTTAATTGTAGCCTGGTTTGGGAGTTCTTCCAGCTTCTTGTTAACACACTCAGGTGAGATATTTTTTTTTATTTCTCTGTTGTGTAAAATAACCATTACATACTAATGTAGTAGGAGGGACCTTAAATGATTCCTTCAGTTGAGCTCTTTTAAAGTATAAATGTCCTGACCAGACAGAATCTTCTTGTGGCACATGTGTTGACCTTCAATCTCATGCTCTGCCACGTACAAGCTCTGCACTTGAAACAAATTCACTCTCCTCTGCATGCAGAATGCTTGACTGATGTGGAAATTGTTCTTTCTCCATTTAGGTTCTTAATGTATGAGGTTGAAAAAGAGTCAGTGAGCTGAATTCATAAATTCCATTTATTAAGAATAAAATCCAGGCAGGTCCATTATCATGTTTTACCACATGTAATTTGAGCATATAGTGACACACTGCATTTCTTTTGGAAACACTTTTTAAAGTGAGAATTTTCCAAAATTCTGATTGTGAAGTGTTATGTTTGAAGTTGATTATTACACAAAACAATGACACAGAGGCCAACTTCACACAAGTCCATTCAAGCAGTCCATACTAAAAACCAAAAGTGCAGGAGTTATCATTTCTTTTAAAAAATCAATATTTATCCACTTTATCTTGACTACTTTTAATGAATATCAAATGTAAGATAAACAGCGTCAACATTAGACCCGAATACATTTATTTTTGGAAAATCTTTAGCACCACACTGCTTTGAGCATGCTCCGGATTTTCACAATTTGAATTCTGATGAAGTTGTTGTCGATGTTTCTGCCTCGTACAAGTCGACATTACAAGTCGATTACTACTAATTAACACACATTATAAAGAAAATTGATAGTGATGTCATAGCAAAACAACTTACTGTTCTGACTCAGCAGCACACTGTACATCTGACACTCTTCATCTTAACACTGAACACATTGACATCATAAGCGACATGTATACCTGAGCAGATGTGACGGGATTAGGTGTCTCACAAAAGGAAATGCAATGTTTTCACAATGAAACCCACATAAAATTTGTTTTTTGCAAACACCAGCATCCGTGGTACAGCGTAACAGTAACGTAACATTTGCAGTGCCTGACCGAAGCAAAACAGCCCCCTCATCTACTGTCCCGTATCTGTTTTAACACTCTTTGACCTCCACTTACATCTGCACCTGTACGCAGCCTACCACTTTCCTTCACGTGGCCAACGTTAACCTGTTACGTTGTAATTTCTCTTGGCTCTGCCATGATAAATCATGGAAGCGGGGCACAGACTGTGCAAGATGTGCAAGCAACACTCTCTCAAGGTGTGAGTGTGAAGAAGGTGTTAGCACTGCTGTAATGGAAAAGCGGCCTCTACAGCGAGGGGTTCCTTAGCGAATCTGGCAAACACACAGAGGATGAGAGACGCTGACAGAAGAATGCATCATGTCACATGTGGTTTCAGACGTGTGGGAGACACAGGAGTCAAAACAAGTACAGCCGGTAGTTGGTCTGTATTTAAAGCAGCATGCTATGCAACTAACAAGCTTACATGGCACAACAATGGCAACATCCAGAGATAAATGTACCTGACACCAAGAATCCGATTAAAGTGGGCTAAACAGCAGTGGGAGAGTAGATAATAATGTTTTGTCTGATGCTGATATAGACAAATGAAAGCTATAGCTTTTGCAAAGTTTGAACAAAGAAAAACCATCAGCAAGATTGGATATTTTTTTCCATTCACTTAGCCAATTCCTCATACGTCTAATGCCAAGGTTGCATTTCATGTTTAGATAAGTCATGTCCCCCCTACAATTATTTTAACAAGTAGGTTAAAGAACCTGTATGCACCTTACAAAAAGTTACTGTTGCTCCTAAGAAAAACTTACAACGTATAAAGTTAGAAAAACAAGATCTATTACCCACTTTTGCCATTTATTTGGCAGGCAAGTTCACTGGTTTAGTGCCTTATACATATTCAGCTGCCTCTGTTTTCTTTTTTTTGTTGTTGTCCTGGCTTGCAATTCTGTGTTGACATCCAGCAAATAGGAGAGCCCTGAAATGAATTTTAAAACTCTTCTGAAATATCATCCCTGTCACCTGGAAAACCTCGGGTGTTGCTGTGGGTCCGTGCACGTCAGGGACTCGTTATCACTCCTCGCGATGCTGCAGTTTGACACGTGTCTGTTGTGCTGTCACAAAGCGTAACCACCGACTCCTGGAGCGTTGAGGATAATTTACCATCACGTCATGTGTCACATATGCACTTGTGGCAACCGGCTTTCCTCCTGTGTGTGTGAGGAGGGTTAAGTCTCGTATGACTAAGACACCAAGGCCCAAAAGGGATTCTCGTCTGCTGTCTGTCTTGTTCTAGCATCATGCTGTATTATTCCTAAAGCCACACAATGGCTTCACTGCTGAGCTGTGTGATAGTAATATGTAATCCCATCCACTCTGGCCCTGAGGTGATGTTATTTCAGCATGCAGGTGTAGTAATGACCATGGCTGAAGGTGCTTTGTGACCTACTGTCCTCCCAAATGTCCTGCTCATCATTATGCTATTAGTTTCCTATGGCTTTTTTTTTTCCCACAAGAGCAATGCCAGATGGTCCCCGACTCTCCCAAAGAGTTACCTGAGGCATCTAAGTATCCATACCCCTTTGAACCTTTTCACAATTTGTCATGTTACAAAAACAAACTTTAAATCTATTTTGTGTGATAGATCAACAGATCATCGGGGGTTTATTTGAAAACATAAGTGAAACAGACACCATCACAAACTGAAGGTGCATTCACAGCAGCCTTGTTTGGCCCGATTTAATCGAACTCTAGTTGATTTGCAGAGAAAGATTTGCAGGGAGGTGTGAAAGTGCAATCAAACTCTGAAGCGACCAAAAAAAAGCAAACTCTGGTCCGCCTAAAACACCCCAAGTCTCAGTTCAGCTGACGTGAACTCTTGTGGTTTCGAATGGATATGTGGATGTGAGCGGACCGGAGACGGGAAGCAAACTACAGAGCAGGGCATTCTGGGTAAATACAACTCAATAAACACAAGAGTGTAATGTTAGTGGGAAAATATGTTGTGAGAAATCCTACAACAGCTAAAATCTGACACCACTCCATTTCTGTTTACGCTTTGCAAAGATGAAAGTCGTCTTCTGAGGTTATCGTGACATTTCCTTCACTGGTTGTTGGTGCAGTACCACCACAGGCGAGGTGGGGTGAACAGGTTTTTCCAAAGAGTTTGGATTCTTTGACACGTTGCAGTGCGAAAGCGATTCAGGAGAAGTACTCCAATAATCTGGCCCTTATTGAAGAACAGCAAGAAGGAAGCTGCTGCTGAAAGAAAGTCCTGTTGGCAGTTCATTACAATCCATGCGAGGGACCTAGGGGGCTTGTAGAAGAAGATACTCTGGGCAAATGAAATCAAAAATGTAAATTTTTGATGGTATGCATGGTTTAAAAAAGACGGGGAATAAAAAAATATGGAGTCAAAGCTAAAGTAGAGGAAGCTTGAGTTTTTTGCCAACAAGAATCTGCAGATGAAATGATGGTAGAGAGACACACCCTAAAACACTTGCAGTTAGAATGGCAGCTGAAGGTTGTTTGACAAACTATTGATTCAGGGCAATGTAATACCAATGTTCATCACACTTTTCAGATTGGTAGAATGATGTGTCCTTTCTTTTTACACGTATGCACATCTTCGAGTTATTTTATCGCATGAAATATGCATAAGGTACATCAAAAGTTACTAATAGCATAAACTAAGGATGGTCTCTATGTGTCAAAAGTGTGGAGAAGGTGAAGAGGTGCAAATACCTTTCCAAGGCACAGTATTTCCCTGTTTTGAGCAGAGGTGTAGAGACATTTGAAGGCAGTGCTGGACAGGAATAATAGACTTTGACGATTCAACAGGGAGAGACTTTTTGTTTTTGCCTCCTTTAGCCCGTCAACGAGTCACAGTGCATTCAACAGACAAACCAAAGGGAAGGTATTCTTAGACTTACCCTCCTCCCATAGCAGGGGTGAGCTCAAGAGATAAAAAAATGCAAGACAGTCTAAAATAGGAAACTTTGCTTTGCTTTCAAGAAGACACAGCAATGTCTGCATGTAGATTTTGGCAGAGTAAACAACCTGCAATGAAATTACAAGTGACATCTAAAAAAAAAAAAAAGAAGAAAGGTATGAAATCTGGAATGTCTTGAAAAGGATGAAAATTCGAGATTTAAAGCACGGCGACAGGGTGAGAATAGCAAGGTGCTCCTGACTTCACGCAGAAGAGTTTCCAGTTGCTCGTGATAAATACATCCAGCAAGAACGAACAGAGGAGGCGAGGAGTTTTTGCATGCGAGGGCGAGTGTGGAGGAGGGACCTCTGTGTGTGTCCTAAGGGATGCCTGATCCGTGCCTTGGCCCTCTCCAGCAACCAGATGAGCGATTATGTAAGCACCGAAACTGACTAACGTCTGACACTGGTTATTGAGAATCTACAATGACTTCCAAAAGCATCAAACACAAGCCTTAGTCGGCTTTTCTGTCTAAGCATGTTACATGTACATATATATGTATGGCTCCGAGCAGGCTGACGCAATCATATAATGAGTGTTTGAATTTTTATGTGAGTGTGTAGAAAAGCCAGATAATAAAAAAAAAATATTCCCTATTTTTTTTACCTCCAAAGTAGGATCCATCGGTTAGTTTCATTTCCTTGTTGAACTTGGTGATGACACTCACAACGCCATGCTGAATAAAGTACATCTTCTTCCCAACCGTGCCTTCCCTGATGATATAGTCATTGGGTTGGAAAACTTCAAACTTCAGCTTGCTCAGCATCCCCGTCACAAAGTTGGGGTCGGCGTTGGCGAACAGAGGCATGGTGGCCACGAGCTTACGACAATTGAAGTTGACAATTTCCTGACAGAGGAAAAGGAGAAAAAGGGACATAAGAAAGGGATATGCGCTCGTGCCATAAATAATTCACTTATTTCCACCTGAACTCAGGGGAAAAGCAAGCAAGCAGGCAGGCAGACAGGTGGTAGGACACAAAACCTTTCATCTCTGAACCGTTATCTGCAAACATAAATGAAATTGGACACACAGCGCTGATTTAGGCTTAATACTTCCCAAGCACTTCCCATATCTCTCATGAGAGGAAACTTTTTGGCACATAAATCAGATCCTGATGAGTTTGCCCTCTGGTGCCGGCTGTGAGCCATCTCGCTGGTCTCATCCTGTCCCCTCATAAGCAGCAGGAGATTAGGAGCTTGTTGTCTGTTTGTACGTCGCATCTCTGTTGCTGTGCAGATGGAAGGCCGGGGCACTTGGCAACCGCAGTGCCGTGTTGTTGACCCCAGATGAGCGATAGCTCTCCTCCAGTGACAACGGGACATTAACAAAAAGATAACCAATCTCTGCAATGCTTCGATGGCTACGTGAGGGCAACAGAGAAGAATGCTAGCGCAGCGTTTGTCAGCAAACGCTATGGAGTTCTGACCTCAGTCGTGCACCAGAATTAATGAATTAGACAGGAAACGGTTCTCATAGCGGGCCGGCATTCATGTCTGGGAATTAATCTTTGGCTTTCCCTTTTTGAAGATTTGTCATATGGCAGCCAGCAGGAATACGAGTTGGAGGTTATGCAGCGGTGTGGAAACAGTATGCCTGTTTGCAATTACAAACCAGAGAAGATGTTTTTTCTTGTATTCATCATTAAAATGGCCATAATGTCCGAAAGCGAACATATTTATGCAGGCCTTCAAAATAAATCTGTTTATTATTTATTTATACGGCAATGACTGCAGGTAGGTAAACACCTCAGACTGTGCCTGAAATGATACCTGGACTGAATTATTCAGTGATTACAGATTCTTCAAAGCATGAGATTTGTGCCTGCCATCCATCTATCCATCTATATTGCAGAAAAAAAAATGCAAGAATGTGATTTTAGCAAATGAATGCTAAAAAAAACAACATTTATTTCTGCCCTAAATTGACAAATTGCAAAACAGATTGTACATGTTTTTGTTTTCATTTATTTATTTATTATTTAAGTTAATATTCAAAAACGGCAAAGTTTTAAAAGTCTGACAACCATATTCAAACTATCAGTGCTATAAACAATAAACATTTACAATCCATTTATGTTTTAGATTATATTACAAAATAAAATGTATGTGTTTAGGTAATTTGGCAGTCTGTCTTTTCTATCCAAGGTTTTCCTCTTTGCACATACTGAACTACCCCTGCAAAATATTTTGTCTCAACACCCGAGTCTTAAGTCGTCAGACATAAACTAGCCCCTCGCTACACACACATCTTTCAACCTAATACTCATTTATTTTTTGTGCCAAATTAAACATTCAAAGTTCACCCTTGAGAATAGATTTTTTTTTTCTCGCAAATGTGACACAAGCTGTCAGAAACACTTTTCACTATTTTTTTTTTAAACTATTCTAAAATACAATTTAAATTTTCCATCAAACAGGAAATGATATGGGGTCAAAGTTTGAATTCACTCCTGTGTTTCATCAGCGAAGCTGTCTCACCTCTTTGAGTGGGTCGTTGAGTTCACTCAGGATGTTGTCCTCATCAAAAATCTTGCCTTGGTAGCGGTGCTCATAGTAGTCATGGATTTTCTGCCTCATGTCTGCTGGAAGCTTGTGGAAAGACATGTATTGCTCCACTTGCTTATACTAGGAAAGGATGAAAAGAAAATGACACATGCTTCAGTTCATACAGCTTTTACAATCCCTTTATTTGGCAGGATGCTGTTAAGATGTGCGTGTCAAAAAAGGACAATAAGGACAGTAAGGACAATCGCGGGACTATGGACAACTTAAATGGGGCCCTAAAACATTTCTTTTAAAGGAAAGTTGTCTTTTGCCGTAGGTAGCAAGTGTCTTTTGTATTTCAATCTTAGGTTCTTGTGATGCGTTCGATCTTGACAGTGCTCCGTTTCCTGTCTGTATTTTAGTTAATGATTTCTTCACAGGCACTCTAAGGAAATGATTAAATAATGCACACTGAACATTTTTATTTCAGTTTTCTTCCTGAGGTTCAGCAGACACACAGCCCCCTCAGGAGCTTCGTAGCAATATGAAATAATATACCCAACGCATAAAAAGAATGAAAATGTTTCGGAGTACAGATCATTTTTAAAACAACTCATGCACAAGTCACTACTTGAGATCTGTTCAAAGGAAGCCAAGGTTTGATTCAGTGATTAAAAATGGCCATTAGATTGCAAATAACTTTTTCATTATCCACATTAATCCTGGGTTGATGTGTCTGTGTGTGTCTGCATCGCACATCAGACCGTGAAGGACAAGAATATTAAGCAGACTCAGTGATAGATCTGTGCAAACAGCTTCCACAACCAGGCTTTTCAAACCTGTTTTGAATGGTTTTCAGAGTAACTAATGGTTTTAGAAGATCAAATTTGATGATCAGTTTGAGTATTTTGTAAGACAAATGCTAACAGCAGATAACTTATTTATTTTGTGACTTCTGAACTAACCTTTGTTTGGGGGTGTCAGAGTGAAGGGGTAGGAAGACAAACTACACATTTCAGACTTTTATTTACATGAGGAAATGTGACCAAGTTTTTGTTAAGGTTAGGTTTCTTTTTTTTTTTACTAAAAAAATGGAAATGTGAGGGGTGTTTTTTTTTGTTTTTTTTTTCCACATTCATCTCCAATATGAGGTGAAATCAAAATTTTATTTGTTGCCATTAGGACAACTATAGGTTTCTTCAAATGAAATGACTTAACCTTTGTAAGAAGTAAAGACCAAGGAGGTTGTCTTTGAGACTAGGAATGAATCAAGTAATTTCACAAAACCAGTAGAAAAAACTGCATAAAAGTTCAAAGAAAAATAAACAAAAAAAATATTTTCAGGCTGTGACAGAAAAGAAGAAGCTGTAAAATGTAATTGCACTGTAAAAAAAATGGGATAATAATATTAGCATATTACAAATACAAGAGGAACTTTCAATCCTCCCCTTTCTTGCCTTTTTTTCACTTACTAAATCTGTGAAAAAGTTTTCATTCAAGCTTCAGGAAAATCAAAAAGAGAAGAAATAAGGGAAAGCCGAAGATGCAGAAGAAACCATCTATTTTGTTCAGTTCTGTAGCAGATTTGTGACAGACACAATCTTCACCATCCAGTCCGCAGCCCAGACAGCTGAAAATAAACAACGTCTCTCACACTCCCCTGGGTAATCACAGCAGAGCAGTGGGGGAGAGCAGACAGCAGCTGAGGTTGGTAGCTCAGGCCAGTGGCAAGCTCTTTGACCAGTGCGGCGCAACTGGCCCCACAAAATGAATTTTGTCAGCGAGCGAGAGAAGACACTTGAGTCACAATGCCCCCCTTTATTGATTCCCTCTCCCAGCTGCAGAAAGGTGATAAGGGGCCAGGGTTTTGTTTGTGGGAAATTGATTTATTTTGAGTTCACACAGTTGATGCTGGAGAGTGTCCACTGTGACTCAAGCAGGGCATTTTGACTCAGTTAGTCAAGGTGGGGCACAGAGTGAGGCGAAAGCGCAGAACTTGGGAGCATTATCAACATGACCTGATGTTTAACATATAGTACTTTCGGTAAAGATAAATGGGAAATCAACTGATGACCCACAATAAGATGATTTTGTAACTTGGTCAGCTCTTACTGGGCATAAACTGATGAGTAGCAAGCACCACTTAGATCAAGCTAACAACTACGTTCTTCATAGTAGAGGTTGTTACTGAGCAAAAAAGACTCGGTGTGCTATTTTCAGTATCAGCTATGTGTCTGCAGTTCTTTCAGACTGCAAGAGAGAATGAGAAAATGCCTCACTTTTAGCAGATAGCAGGACAGATGAGCATATTGCACCAAAATTGCTTTGCATTATCCTTTTGCTATTCAACCTCCGTTTCTTAAAGACCTAGCAGGATTTAGAAGTGTTTATATTCTTTATGGAAATGTTGGTCTATGGTAAATGCTAGCATTCTCTAAGAATGTTGCTAGCTCTGCTACCTGCACTAATTGCTAGAAAACGATGCAAAATTCCACACTAATGTTGATTTTCCTTCAAACAATAAGACTGAACTCCTGTTTTACGACTTCTCTCCCACACATGGGGTATGAAGTTCTGCTCTGATCCAAGCAACACCTATAGAAGGTATAGTAAATAAAGTTTAAATGCTGTTCCCATGTCGTAGTGTTTTTTTTTTTTTGCAGAATTGATTAGCTTTGCTAATCCAAAGCTTTCCATAAAAACAAACATCAGATCAGAAATTAGATGCTAAATTCTTGTTTGTGGAGCTTTAATTTTAAATTCTACCTTTTTTTTTTTTTTTGCATTTATAAGTTTGTGATGAAGTAATTAAGTTCCAGCATCTGATTAAAAGTCCCATATCCCTCAATCATTTAGTGACATGAGTCAATCAATTTCCTAAAAAAAAAAAAAAAAAAATCTAATATGTATTTTTAGTTGGTGCCTAAAGTAGCTAAAAATGATCTTTTGGTGCAAAATATAGAAAGCAGCTATAAAGAGAGAGGTCTTCTGTCTTCCTGAACTGAATGACACAGATGTCCTCTGGGTTGCAGTGATTCAGCACCGAGGCATCACAGCAGGAATGTGTTGATATCATGCATACTTCACTCCCTCACTTCCTTCTCTCCCCTCCAACAATGTCTCCGACTCCTCGCCACTAAAAGTGCTCACTCTGTCTTTTTCATCCCCTTTAAGTCTATTTATTTTTTTCACCCTCACGCATCACAAGAGAACATTTAAAAACATTGGCTATATGGGTCACATTTTCCCAACAAATGCTTGCCACAGACAAAATCTACCACTGAATTACTTGTAACGATAACTCCCACGTCATCCATCTTTGCATCCATGTCTCTAACCCCCTTCCACCCACCCCCACCCCCCACCTGTGGCAGAGATAGATGTAATGACTAGAGGCTCAGCACCCTGAACTCATTCCTGCTGCTCCTCATCCTGCTTCACTGATATGCACAGCCATGCAGCAAATCAGCCCTGGCTGAACCTGGCCACACACTGGGGTTTCTGCTCCCACAAACAAGACATATTCACGGCCTCAAAGCTCGGAGTTCAATGCCTGGAGGGCTGTTGAAATGAAAGGTAAAACGGGAAGGGAGGAGTAGATTGAGACTGTCGGCTGTGAAGCAGATGCACATCACACACTGAGCAAGAGAAATGCCACTAATTCAGTAACTTTAGACTCCTAGACTTGTTTTCTGTGGGCAACTGTTTGTAAGAATGTTTTGTGGTGTGCCTTTAGCTGTCTATAAGCAACCCTAACATTATTTTCCTAATTACAATAAATCTGGACATGCAAAATGTCCAGATTTTTTTTTTCTTCTTCTATTTTTATGATTAAACTTCAAGCATACATGCAAGAGTGATTCTGCAGCAGAAAGATTCTGGCAAAAGCCCTGCAATCATACAGTAATGACAAGTCTTAAGTGGCATGTTAAAACAGCTTTGTGGAGCCGTGCCAAATGCAACGAGGGCTTTTTCTAGATTGCATCGACCACAAAAGCGTCTGGCAAGGTCAGCCCATCGTGCTAGAATAAATTAAAACCATCTAAATGCTTTTACAAGTAAGGTGTAAATTAATGAACTGGTACTTTAGCATGTCCTGTTATAGTTACAGCCAAGGTGACTCTGCTGATGTGAATTATGGCAACAGCCTCCCACGGGACAGATAATGTGTACCACTTGAACTTTTTCCCTTTTTTATTTTTTGTTTGTGCCGATGCACAAACCAACACAATACGAGTCTGCAACAAACCAACATGTAACCTCTGAGTCAGCTGTTAGTGGACTGGCAGAAAATAAACAGCTAAAGTTTATTTGGGTTGCATTATATCATGCGTACATTGAACCTAATCGTATTTTACCATATTTTGTTATTTCACATCACATTGTAACACCACTGTGTGCCGTTATCAGTGTATTGATTCACATTCCAGTGTATCATATTGCATCAAACTGCATCGGAATGCATTAAATTGCATTACCTGTTAGCATATCATATGGCATTTCATATTTGCATGTCGTGTTTTATTGTATCATGTAGAATGTATGCTGTATTTCTTTATGTCAAATTGTTTCATTATGTATTGTAATTGTATTACGTCATATAGTACAGTATTAAATTACATGCTGCATTGTTATAGGCAATATCATATTGTATTGTGCTGCATTGTATCAAATACAATAATGTATTGTATCAGGTCAAACTGTATCATACTATCCTTTCTAGTAGTAAATCATATACTGTACCACACTAAGTTTACTGCAATGCACCATATAACACAATAAGGTGGTAACTTGAGTTATGCGGCATCGTATCAAATTGTCTCATACTGCATCATATCACACTGCATTACATTAGATTATCCAGCATTTTATTGTGTCAAATCATAATGCAATAAACGGTACCATTTCAAATGCAACGTACTGCATTATATCTTATTGCATTAAATTGTTTGATTATAACTTCTGATCGATTTCATATGAGAAGTGTAAGCCTTGTTTTCAGTTGTATGTCCTGTTTGAACTATTACTGATGGCCTGCAGGTCAAACTAAACACAAAAAGGAGAAAGAAGCAGCAATAAGAACTTAATTTCACTTAAAAACTTTCACTAACTTAAATCCCGACTTATGCAAGAACATATGTAAGGTATATTTGTGTTTTGCTGTACTTCTTTTAAAGAAACTTGTCAGTTGTGATGTTTGGTTAATTACAAGCCTTTAAGGATAAATACTAATCTCATTAAGAATGCCCAATTACCACATATGAGCACAAGAGAAAACTTGAAAGGCTCAAAAAAGCTTCTATTACTGAATGAACATCAAAGGAGCTTCACATCGACTTCCCTAATCAACTAATTATAGCACCTCTAATTACATATGCTGCAGTATCGTACAGACGTCGATTGGTTATCTCAGAATGTTGTCTTAAATGGATATAAAATCAATTAACCTTTTTGTCTTTTGAGAAGATTTTATCGCATGATACATCATGACTGGAGAGTCTTTGTGGCGACATAAATAGCTTAGAATCACTAAAACCAGTAGTTTGTAGTATCTTAATTACTAAAATCTAAACTGTGCAGCTCCTACAGCTGTATAAAATTGACTTTGTAATTTTGAAAAGATTTAAAAAATAAAAAATTAATTGTTCTGGCAAAAACAATTTAAAATTAAATAAATGGAATACATTATGGACAATTCAGCTCGTCTAAGCTGGAATTAGTGCTGCTGCAGCATAAGGGAAAGTTCAGCTTTTTGTTTTAATCATACATGTGTCCCGGCATGACACAACTTAGAGGACGTTAATCCCCACCAGCACACGGCCATATGGAAAGCACAGCAAATGGGTTTACTGCTGCGTAACGGAGAAGCATGGAAGTTGAACTTGGCGTCTCGCGTGCAAACTCAGGAGCACATCGGTCATTGCCGGCTGTTCTGGGAGAAGCCCAGGCCCCTCAGCATGATCACAGATGGTGGCTGGGTGTAAAGCGAAATAATCACTCTCCATGCGGAAAAAAAAAAAAAATCTAATTATGTAATAGGGAAAATTAAAAGAAAGAAAAACATAATGCAACTTCTCTGGTCATTTTAAAGTCCAATCCTGACCCCAGCGACCTTACTTTTATCTGCTGTGGAGGGAGAGGAATCCTCTTTTCTGGTCATCATCCTGGGTTTTACAATCCGAGAGCAACTGAGAGTAAAGCTAATTTAAGTTTCGCTCCAAAGAGCGAGATCTTATGTAATTCAAAAAAAAAAAAAAAAAAAAAAAGAGCCACCCAACCAAATAAAACCCGGAAAATATTCTCCTTTTTTACTTAAG